GCGCCCGCTTGGACCCGAACCCGTACAGGCACACGCTGAAGCCCTGCGCGAGCTCAAACGCCCACTGCGCAAACGACTCGGCGTGCAGCGCCTCGAGGTTGGCCACGCCGGCCGCGTGTCGCTGCGTCGCGGCCGCGGCCGCGCCGCCCGCCCGCGCCAGCACCGCAAAGTACTCGTCGTGCGTGAGCAGGCGCAGGCCGCGGCCGGCGAGCGTGTTGTCCGAGGTTTTGGGCCGCCCGGGCTTGTTGTGGAAAAAGTACGTTTCGTGCGGCGGCAGGTCGCGGGGCGGTGTCGGCGACTTGGCGCGTTTTCTCGTCGCGCGTTGCTGCTGCTTCTTCTTCGTCTTTGTCGGCGTGTCTGTGCCGGCGGGGGTGGGCAGCAGTACGCCGTCATTGTCGTCTTCGTCGTCGTCTTCGTCCGACGTGTCCCCAAAGATGGCCCGCGCGAGGTCTTCGTCTTGATCCGCTGCGCCCGTGTCGTCGTCGTCGTCGTTGTCGTCGGCCGCAACGTGGGAGAACAGCGCGCGCGCCGTCTTCTTCCGCGCGGAGCGGTCGGCGGCGGTGCGCCCGGGCGTTGAGGCGTGCGGGCCGACAGCCTTGAGCGGCGTGAGGTGCGTCGTGCTGGGCTGCGCCGCGGTGGAGGGCGTCGCGGGTGGCTTGATCGGGGTGTGCCGAGGCGGGCGGCCGCGCTTCCGAGGGGTGACGACGGGTGTCAAGGCGGCGGCATCAGAGCCCAGATCGTCGGTGGTCTGCGTGTCCATGGCCGTGTCGTGGCCGTTCATGGGGAGGTCCTCGGAGGCGGAGAGCATGGTGGTGTCGAGGGATTCGGTGCTGCGCTGGCGCTTGGCGGGAGGGCCCTCGTCGGTCCCATCGCCGTCGTATTCCATGCTTTCAGAGTTGCTGTGATCAGTTAACCTAGTACTGGATTGTCGATCTTGGCAGAAAAGCCAATTCCAGATGGTTGCTGGTGGGTGCAAATGACGTTGCAGTTTAGTAGCGGCCGGTTCTTGGCTCAAGCTGGTGGAGCGCGCCGAGACGCGTCTCGCGTAAAGTGTTTTGGGGGGCGGACGTCTACCCCAAACCAAGCAAGTATACTTCGTACAACTTCCTACACACCCTTGACTTACACTGTACTCTGGTCAATTAGTGAAAAGTACAAGTCAGCTTCATTATGCTATATATTCTATCTTTAAAGACCCTGATTATCGAAAGCAGGGTACTTCCCTGCACCACTTACACCGATGCGAACAAGACATCGCAGCCTGACTTTTTTCGCACGCGTCAAGGTGGGCAATTCCAAGACCCTTCCGGATGCGTTCTCTCAAACCAAGTGTCGCCTAGAGACGGTGAACGATCCTCTCTACGCAGCACTGGTGCGGCCTTGCTCTCGAGATCTTGGCGGATCCCCATGTATCTGAACGTCTCCGGCGCCGATTCCGACGGCGCCCGGCCGTCGCAAGCCAGAGTCTGCGGAACCGTCATAATCAGGTAGTCGCTGTTGATGAATTTGACCATGAGCGCATGGTTGCCGTCTGAAGACTTGACCACGTGCGTGCGTCTCCCCGCCCATTTTGGCAGCTTGAACTGGGCAAGCTTGTGTTGGACATTGGCATGCAAGCGGACGATTCCCTGGCGCATCCTCGGGCTTACATCACGGGGTGTTTTTGTGATGGCAACCGCGTCTCTGTGACGTCTCACAGCACCTTCGGGAGCCATCTCAGTCGTGAGAGGAGCAACAGGGCCATTGTCGCTGCGCACGCCAGCAACCTCAAAACGAACAAACTTGGTGTGGTTATGGCCGGCGTCGCAGTGATCCAGATGCTCGATGCAAAACAGCTTGAAAGTTTCCGTTGTCGGTAGCGTGAGCCGCTGAGCCGCGCCTTTCTGCCCGGCAGCTTTGGGCAGGCGTGCGTATGCTTGTTTGACTTCTGCCACCCTTTTGGCCTCGTACTCTCGCGCTGCCGCTCGCTCCTTGGCTTCCGCGTCTTTTGCTTCCTTCATTTCGCGTTTTCTTTCTTCTCGTTCCTCCTTCATCTCGTAGTAGCAGTCGGCGTCAGACTCCTGATAGGACCTCTCCCCGTCGTCGTCGTCCATATGGTCACAGTCGTCCCACTCGGGGTCGTCATCGGGATCTTGCATGCATTCATTGCATTTGAATGGTTTTTCTTCCTGTTCTTCCTTTTCTTCCAGATCGGAAAGATCCATGTCATAGTCTGACCGGTATGTTGCCTGATTGCGCCTCTTGAAACTCAGATGAAGAACCCGGTAATACCACGCGGGACGGCTCTGGTTGGGCGCGGGCTCGGTAGCTTTCTTTGGCGCCATCGTGAGAGACTCAAAACTAGCAGGTGCGCCCAAAATGACTAAATTTTGACTTGCCGACTGCAAAGTAAGAGCTGGCTGGTGTAATTTACGGTCGGGAGAATTCTGACCCCTGAGGAAAGATGCATCCGTCCTGACCCACCCCGTTTGGTGAAATTACGAAAGTGTACAAGAGTTCGAACAAATTCTGTTGCCCCGTGGTTTTATCTTATTTGAATAATATGATAGCAATTGTATTGACCGATTCGCAACAGGAAGCTCGCCAATATTTCTCACTGTCCGTTTCAGCTCCGTTCGAGAAACAGCGCAGAATAATGAGAAAAAATGAAAGGAATGAACTTGTCCAAGCAGAGTGCTCAAACGAGGATTACGTCTTCGTTTCGTCAGCTCTCATTCTAACCTTCCCCTTTTCTTTTTTTAAAATTGACACTAAACTTGACACAAGCAAGAAAAGCCCCAAGTTATTCGTTCTGTCCTTCCTACCCTAGTGGTTCGTCAGATTGAAACAATTGCGGACGAAGCAAATTCTTGGATGAATACTAATTTCTTTTCGGGGAAACTGTGGGAATACTCTAGCTCGCTTATATAATAAAAATAAGTTCCGAGTCGCCTTCTCTATAAGCTTGTAGCGTGGTGTTTCCCCATCACAAGGCTGCCAATATGTCTCGGCATTGCCTGTCCGCATACTTATCACTTGACGTAACTAGGCAACAAACGGGCAGTTGGGCCGAGAGAAATTGACTATTCTTGAGATAGCACTTATCGTTTTGAACCCGTATTGCAACAAAGCAGCTCGTTGACCAACCCTCTTCTATCCGTTTTCAACTCTCACGCCCGGGAAACACGTCGAAAATCGCTGCAAAATAACCATCTTCGACCAGCTCGAAACAATCATCTTGGCAAACAAGCCGCTACATAATGACGTTGCGGAAAATTTGGTAGAGCTCGGCGCCCCGTCCATGTCCATTGACGTGATGGATAATGGCAACATGCCAGCAAAGTGCTAGTATGTGGTTGACGACAACATCAAAACCACACTTCAGGGTTGCAGCATTTCAGACAGGAATGCAGTTGCCCACGAAACTGGTCGCAAAGGTCGCCTGACCCTGAGCGGGGTACTGAGCTGTTGCCCAAGGAGTATGTATACTATCATTCTCGACAGCTCGCCAGCAAGCCTACAGACCACTTATAAAGAGAATTACGATTAAACAACTTCTCAGTCGCACTGCTGGCCTATGTCTGATATATTTCCAGGGCATTCACTTTCCGCGGCTGTCCCCACCATGCACGAAATAATTGCGGCATCAACGAGCCAGGCTTCAGGTCGCTGTCGATGGAGTTCCTCAATGTCGACGAAAATGACACCCTCAAGACGTCGAGCATGGTGGTGGTGAGGAATGCAGATACGGGAGACTCACTGTGGGCGCAGTGTATGCAGGCCGTCAGCGTCCTCCGATGCTGGCCGTTCCGAGAGCACGAGGCCAAGGCTCAGCGCCTGGGCGGACTGGCTTTTGAGAGTGACAATGATTGGAAGGCAAGGAAGGGAGAGTGTAAAAGTACGTATCATTATTTGCTTGTTTTGTAAGAGGGAAGGGATGGCCTTGCTCTGGTGGTGTTTGATAGCCTCGGAGAAGCAGTTTCGCACAATACACCTACGTCGAAAACGCGGCATCGTGGAACGAGCCCATTACACAATGCTCCCGTATCCTTAACAAGTAACGGTATATGTGAAAAATAGACCTACGTAATGCTGTCAGTTTTCAGTGACAGCGCGGACAGAGAAGAAGGGGGGAGACTGGCATGATGCGCATGAGCAATATTATGCGAGTGTCGCGTAGTTGAGTCTCGCTCGTTGTTGAGGCGATATGTGTGAAGCATTATGATAACCCTTTTCTTGTATGGAGAGACCTTCAGGTAGCCACCTTTGCCAATCGTTTCGTTTTTCGTCCTCACCTTCCACATTTGCCAATTATTGCGTTATTCATCCTCACCTTCCACACTCGGTGCGCTGTCGAGTGCGCCGCCGCCAATCATGACCGGATTGTATCAGAGAAATGACTATAAAAAGTTCTTCAATTCAACAAGGACGAGTCATTCTCCCTTCAACCCTCTTCATCCTCTGGCCTCATCACATCCTTTGGCAATTACTACAATTCACCATGTCTGATTTGCAGGCCACCCAACACCCACCCACCTACCACGACAGTCCCTATTATGCCTATCTCATACAGACATACAAGGGAAACGGTGCCGGCGACTGGCATCGGTGGTTGGTGGCCGCCGCTTGCCGCGAGGACATGAAGACCTTTTTCCGAGGACTGCAAAAGTATTCCGCCACCAGCAACGCAACAATCACCGACGTGAAGCCCGTCAACTTGGCTTGGTGGACTTTTAAAGCACCAGAAGGCTACAACGTGCGGGAGCTTGTCAAGCAGATTTACCAGTCATACCCCTCCTGGTACGGAGACATCGCAGAGCTGAGCGAGAGTCTCGGCAAGATTGCTGTGACGGTGATGGATGATGCTGGAGGAAGAAACTGGCCCATCCTTCCTACCCAGAACGTTTCGCTGTACGACTACTGACGGAGCAAGCGCCACATTTTGTCTCTTCTTTGCACGGCAATGTTTGATGGTTAAATGCTCTTTGGAGGGTGCACTATCCAATTCGACTTGATGATCGTACCTTTTCGCCTGGCAGCTGAAGAGCGAATGTGTTGGGACGCGCAAAGGACGCATCACTGGCGATCCATTGCTGGATGAATGTAGCTCTATAGTGAATAATTGACAATAGGGCGCGTGGCCGCCCATAATTCGAGTGACCTCTTTAATCAATGGTTTGCGCATCGAAATGACCATGTGAATGTTGACGAGGCTTAGAGAGGACATCAGGGTCAGTCAGTCCCCATCATCAAGGTAGTAAGTTCTAAAAGCCTAATAAGTTTGGTTGATTTATCCGGCATCTTGTTCTTTATCGCTTCAATCAATAATTAACAGAAATATTTTTTAATACCTTTTCAAGTTGAGTAGGTACTTAGTATGGGATTGGCATGCCTTGGTAGGTTATCGGCGCGCAGCTATAATGCGCGGTTACAGAGTAGTAAGAACAAAAAAAAAAGCCCAAAGAGACTGGAATGAAGTTGTGTTTTGCATTTTTGCACTATTTTTTAACTCATCGCAATTCGTACAGTGGCCGCCCCTGAGAAAGGAGGCAGTGGGGCCAGCTTGTGACGCGACCGAAGTTCAGCCTGTGGCCACTTCAACAAGCTGTCAACCTCGAAAATCCACGCGACCCCTGGAGCCAGCTTGTCCTGAGAGTTGCACGCACCATCCTACACCGTTGCGACAGCCACCCATCACGTTGCTAGTCGCATCTCACCATGAAGTTTTCGACGCTGCTCACGGGCGCCGTCGCCCTGTTGAGCTCCGAGGCCGTTGCCACATCCCTCACATACCGGGTCGAGGCCCACGAGCAAGCTTGCTTCTACGCCAACACCAAGAACGCCAACGAGAAGATTGCCTTTTACTTTGCCGTACGGACCCCGGACGGGATATACGCTGTTTGATTACAAGTGATGAAGGTATTAATGCGATAAATAGGTCCAATCCGGCGGCTCGTTCGACATTGACTACGAGGTCACCTCCCCCAATGGCAAGATCATCATGTCTGGCGAAAAGGAGCGCCAGGGTGACTTTGCGTTTACCGCGCAGGCCCCAGGCGACTACTCGTTCTGCTTCAGCAACAAGATGAGCACGTTTGCCGAGAAGTTTGTCGACCTGGAGATTTCTGTGAGTGCGCGGCCATTCGCGATGGCAACAACAGGGTAAAACGGAGGGCGCAACTAACCATTGGCATGCAGGTCGAGAACGAGGTGCGCGCCCAGCTTCCCTCTAAGCAAGGATCCAGCCCAGAGCAGACCAACATCCTCGAGGACTCGGTCTACAAGATCTCTGGCCAGCTGTCCACGATTTCAAGAAACCAAAAGTACTTTCGCACGCGCGAGAACCGCAACTTTGCGACCGTCACGAGCACAGAGAACCGCATTGTCAACTTTAGCATGATCCAGTCGTTCCTCGTTGTCTGCATGGGTGGTCTGCAAGTATTCGTTGTTAGATTCTTCTTCCAGGTAAGCCTTGAACCGACGCAGCCCAGGCCCTGCCATATGCTGACAACTCCCAGGGTGCTCGCAAGGGCTACGTCTGATCCATACGCAATATACACAAGTCTGTGATTTCTTTTATACATTGGCGGCGTGGGTTTTGAAAATTTGGGTTGCTGGGAATGGCCTGTAATATACAAGGTGGGTAGATGCGCCTGTGTCGCTCGACATGGTTGACACAACATCGTCAAGAGTAATGGATGATATGAGGCAAACGCGACCTATAGTTCCGAATTAAACCTCATATGCTGTCTACATTAAATCATTCCAAAAATTCGTGTAAATGTAGATGCGTGCTCTAGCAGCTGGGATGCTTGATGCGCTGGTAGATCCGCCATCTTCTGGTGAACCGCGCTAAGCCACTTTCGGACAACCGCCTCTGAAATTCTTGACCCAGTTCGCCTGCAGGCAACATCCTCCAACTTTGCACCCCAAACTCGCAGGCGACGGCAACTGACACGACACAATGGCGTCCATCGCCGCATCCCTGCAGTCTTCGCTGCCGAAACCGAAATACACGGGCGAAGATGAAGAAATCCCCTCCCACGCCAAGCCGCGCGGCCCTCGGATCGTGGGCGCGGGCCAGATTGACGAGACACAAATTGTGCTGAAGCGCGCCGGCCCGCCGCCGTATGGCCAGCGAGTCGGGTGGCGGCCCCGGTCGCAGGAGGACTTTGGCGACGGCGGCGCGTTTCCCGAGGTGCCGGTCGCGCAGTATCCGCTGGACATGGGCAAGAAGGGGTCAACGGCGAGCAACGCGCTGGCGATCCAGGTGGACGCCGAGGGCAAGGTCAAGTACGACGCCATTGCGCGGCAGGGGCACGGCGACGGCCGCATCATTCACACGTCGTTCAAGGACCTGATCCCGCTGCGGCAGCGCGCAGACGCGGGCGAGATTGACCTGGCGCGGCCGGACAAGGAGACGGTGGCGGCGACGGCTGAGCGGACGCGAGACGCGCTGGCCAAGCTGGTGAGCGGCGCGCTGGCGGCGCAGAAGCCCAAGAATGTCAATGTCGGGCAGCGCGCGGAACCGACGTTTGTGCGATACACGCCAGCGGACCAGATGGGCGACAACTCGAAGAAGCAGGACCGCATCATGAAGATTGTTGAGAAGCAGCGCGATCCGCTGGAGCCGCCCAAGTTTAAACACAAGAAGATCCCGCGAGGCCCCCCTTCGCCGCCGCCGCCCGTGATGCACTCGCCCCCGAGAAAGCTCACGGCAGAGGACCAGGAGATGTGGAGGATCCCTCCGCCGGTGTCCAACTGGAAGAATCCCAAGGGCTACACAGTACCATTGGACAAGCGTCTGGCTGCGGACGGCCGAGGACTACAAGATATTACAATTAACGACAAGCACGCTCAATTCGCGGAAGCCGTCAAAATGGCGGAGCGCCATGCACGCGAAGAGGTACAGCAGCGTGCTCTCATGCAGCAACGTCTGGCGGAGAAGGAGAAGATGCAGAAGGAGGACAATCTGCGCGCCCTAGCCCAAAAAGCACGCGAGGAGCGCAACGCGGCCAACACCAGCCGCGGCCGCCGCAACTCGCGTGACTCGGCCGACTCGCGCGATAGTCGGGACTCACGGTCGCGCTCCTCGGGCTACGACTCGCGACGCTCCTCCCGTAGCCGCTCCGGCAGCGAGTCGGACGGCGAGCGGGCGCGCACCAAGGCCCGCGCGGAGCGGCGCAAGGAAAATGAGCGCAAGCTGCGGCAGAGCCACATGGGTGCGGAGCGCCAGATGCAGGCCATGGCTCGGGAGCAGAACCGCGACCTTTCGGAGAAGATTCAGCTGGGTCTCGCCAAGCCGACACAGTCCAAGGAGACCATGTACGACTCGCGGCTGTTTAACCAGTCGAGCGGGTTCGACAGCGGGTTCAACGAGGACAACCACTACGACAAGCCGCTCTTTGCGGCACAGGATGCCATTAGCAGCATCTACCGGCCGCGCGCCAACATGGACGACGACGAGGACGCGGATACGGGCGACCGGGAAATGGCCAAGATTCAGCGGACGGGCCGCTTCGGGGACGCGCTCGGCAAGGGCACGTTCAAGGGCGCGGCCGAGGTGGAGGCGCGCGAGGGCCCGGTGCAGTTCGAAAAGGAGGCGGCGGATCCGTTTAATGTGGACAAGTTTCTGTCTGAAGTGGACAAGAAGGAGAGTGGAGGCGGTGGTGAGGGCGGCAGCAGTGGGAAGAGGGGATACGGACTGCAGGAGGACGAGGATAGAGGCAAGAAGCGGGCGCGCGTGGAGGACGATGATTAGATTGTGGCTCAACTGCACGAGGCTGGGAAAGATTTGTACTTGTTATCGTGTTTGGGCTTTTTTTCTTTCTGCCGTGGTTGGCAGAGGCATGCATCTGGCGTCTGGCTGCTTCGTTGCGTTTAGCCATGGTAACTTATAATATGGACCACAATTGGCATCTACACTGCGTTGAGTCAATTATCGATGTGCGAAGTTGTTGCGATCTCTGACTAGGGTTGGCGGGCATACATATCCTTCGTAACGTTGATACACATTAACAAGGGCGGACTGTGCAAATGGGCGAACTCTTGGCTCCAACGGCGGAGACGTGGCACGATGGGGCGATTTCGGGCTCGGCCGTGGCGATAAGGATGCTCCGTTATTGCATTTCCTACCAGTTATGAAGCAATAAAGCAGCATGAGGGATCAATAATAATTACCAAGGTTCTTGTTTTTTTTTTTTTTTCTGGGCCGCATCAGCCTGTTGCCAAGTGGACTGTTCGTGGAAATATGGGCGTCGTTATTCCCGGCGATAAGGGACAAAAATAGCACAAATTTTTTAGAGATTTCTTTTGAGAACAGGGCTGTTATCTTGGTCTTGGCGGCACAAGGTGGCATGTTACGTGGGCGGCGGGCATTGATTGAGTCAGAGGGAGGCTCCGCCCGCCCGATAGGTTTTGGCGGGCATCGGAAACAAGGGTCTGACGTTGCAGGTGGCGGGCGGATTGATTTTTTTTTTTTAAAAGAGGTGGCGCCGCCGGGTTTGTTGAATCCGAACGGCAAGGCCAAGACTTGATTTATGCAGCAGCGCCAGTTTCGCCTTTTCCTCTCTACATACAACCTGCAAACGCGAATCGAACAAACAACCACTTTTACTCTCCCGACGTCCGATCTTGAGCCAGGCTTCGCCGCAGTCTACAGAGCGAACGCGCCTACATCGTCGTCGACCCCTCCACGACGATTTACACACATCCAAAACACCACAGCCGCCGCCATGTCCGCCGCCAAGACGGCGCTGCTCCTCGCGCCGGCCATTACCAGCACGTGCACGCTCGTGTACGGCTTCGACCAGGAGCTGTTCCTGCGGCTTCTCACGCTGCGGAGCACGTACCGGGACGCCAACAGCCTGCTGCCGGCGTACTGGCGACGGCTGCTGCCGGACTCGGTACCGCGGGCGCTGGGGTTCCTGGCGGCGACGGCGGCGACGTCGGTCGGGGCGGTGCTTGTGCTCGCGCCGCCGCCGGCGCGCGGCGGGGGGCGAACGGCTGCTGGTACGCGGCCGCGGCGGCGTGCGCGGCCGCCCACCTGGCCTGGGTGCCGTGGATGGCCGGCCCCGTCCGCGACATGCTCGCCGACGACGGCGTCGCTATCGAGGACGAGGATGGCCTGACAAATGTCGAGCAGCAGCTGCGCTGGCTCAGGGTCAACCGCGCGAGGACCTGGACGACGGACCTGGTCGGCTGGGTGTGCGCGCTCGTGGCCGTGACCAAGACGTTGGCGGTGCCGTGACGAGCCTGTTTCTCGGGACTACTATGATTTTTATTTCATTTTTTCCTACCACTTTTTTTTGGGGGGGTGTTTGTTCTTGCAACCTGCTATTGCGCGGCGCTTGGAGTTTTGAAACGGGGCCCAACAGTTCGCAGGCTGCGCAGGATTTTATTTGCATGGATTTATTGGCCCCACGTTTGTCGGGTTATGCGACGGACATAATTAATTAGCAGGCTCCCTTGGGTTAGATTCACAGTCAAGTTGGGATGCTTATAGAAGCGGGAATATAATAAATAGAAAGGAAAAAAAGACGCGTGTCAATTCTCATTCTCGATAATCAACAACCCACCATGCGCACCCTGGCTCCGTCTGTGACATGGCGCCGATCCGATTGCCGCTGATCCCGGCTGTCCCGGTTTCGGCTGGGCTGGGCTAGGGTGAACCCAAGACACGATACACGAGCGGGAAAGCGGCCCCCATGCTTTTCAAAGACGCAAACGTACATTGAATCAAGTTTGCAACTCAGATCGGATTTTGATATACCAAGGCTGCAAAAGATGTACTGCCGTGTCCACCGTCTCATGTCAATCCTGTTCCATGACCGGTTCCACCCAGCTGCAAGCTTGAAATTTAATTCTTGACTAGCGATGCACGTTTTTCACTAGTCGCCAAAAGGCAACAGCCTGATTGTCAGGGGAAAAGCTGGTGCAGTGCAGCTTGCGGTACCAACTCCCTTAGTACTAGGTACTTGGGTATCTACTCTTACTCGGGGACCTGCCTTCCTATGTACCTGTCTCTTTGACAGTCGACGCGCGTCCCCGCCAATCCAATCCTTGTTTTGTTCCCTTTGTAACTATTCATCGCGTTGTCTCCCTCGATGCCTGGCCCGTTCTCGAGGCGTCCTTCGTGTCCTTGATACAGGCTGCTTCTTATGCCGCCCGCCAACCCTCGCCCTGTAACTAGGTATCTGCACGCCGTGCTATCCGTAAACATGGCCCTACGCGCCAGGGGTAACCACACCCAAAACCTCGTAACTAGTTTGCAATCGCTGTCACATACCCGAGAGCTTGTTCTCGTATCATGACGAGGCGCAGCAGCACCAACCCATCTCCAACCAGCCAACCACGGCTCACGTCCCATCCTCGATAACTAAACTTTGTCCCATCTTTTTCTTGTTCATTTCTCATTCATCTTGCTTCCATCACTTGCAACTCTTTCTTTACTCTCTGTCCAATTTCCCCCCTAATCTTCATCACTCGTTTTCCCACCAAGCAAACATTTCTGCAAACTCGTCAACAAAACCGCCCCCCGCATTGTCTTAGCAAGCCTGATCCCTCGGCCGAACCACACACGCTTATTAGTCGCCAAAAAAGGCAGCCAGCCAGCCATATCCCACAGTACAGAGACCAAGTCTTGTTAATATATTCAGCCTGATTTGCCCTTTCTTTACCCTCGGCAGTTAGAAGGACCTTGAGAGGCAAAAGAAAAAAACAAGAAAAAAATACCACCATCTTTGACGCTATATATATATATATACACCACCATGTCCGGCTACGAAGACGATGGCGACCTCGTGCCCCATCACGGAAAACCCAGCCGCACCGCCACCACCAAGATGCCTTGGTGGAATCCTCGATACTGGGCCCGCAAAGTCTGGATTGCCGTTGCCGTCGCCGTTGTCATCATCGTCGTCGTCATTGGCGTGGCTGTCGGTGTGACCGTGTCCAAGAACAACGCCTACCCCAGCTACAAGGCGCTGTCCTACACGCTGCAAGACACATGCAAGGAACCGCCTCAACGTATTTCCCATACTCGGACTAACAAGCGGCCGCAGACTCGGGCGAGACCTTTTTTGACCAGTTCAACTACTTCAACACATACGACCCGGGTACGTGTCACTACCTCGCCATCCTCTGCTTCCCACCACTAACACACAAGTCCAGCCCATGGCTTCGTACACTACGTCAGCGAGGCCGACGCCAAGCTCCATGCAAGTTCTCGCCGAACCAGCCATATATCCCCCATCCCCCCGCTGACCAATGTCAGAACCTCACCTACGCGACCTCCAGTGCCGCCGTCATCAAGGTCGACACCACCGTCGGCCCTGGTTCCACCCCGGACGCCTCCACCGGCCGCTTCTCTGTGCGCATCGAGTCCAAGAAGACGTACAACAAGGGGCTCTTCCTCTTCGATGTCCGGCACAGCCCCTACGGCTGCGCCGCGTGGCCCGCGCTCTGGCTGACGGACCCGTCGCACTGGCCCGACCACGGCGAGGTCGACGTGCTCGAGGCCGTCAACGGCGGCGACGCCGGCAACATGATGACGCTCCACACGGCCCGCGGCTGCTCCATGCGCGGCCGCCGCAGGATGACGGGCCAGGCGCTCGACGCCTCGTGCTACGTCGGCGACAACAGCAATGCCGGCTGCGGCGTCCAGGGCCCCGCCGCCTCGTTCGGCGCCGCGTTCAACCGCAACCAGGGCGGCCTCATGGCCGTCGAGTGGCGCGACGACGGCATCCGCATGTGGCAGTTTGCGCGCGACGGCATCCCCGCGGATATCACCGGCAAGAAGCCCACCCCCGACGCGTGGGGAACGGCCGCCGCCGATTTTCCAAACACCCATTGTGATATCGGCGCTAGATTCACCAACAACTCCATCATTGCCAACATTGACCTCTGCGGCGACTTGATCGAGGCTAGCTGGAACAGTTCAAGCTGTATGTGTTTTCGTCCCTCTCATTTTGTGTGTTTGAAATGCTAACCATTTGGATATAGGCGGTGGCGGCGCAACGTGCTCCAACTATGTCGCGAACAAGCCGGCCGAGTTTGCCAATGCATACTGGGAATTCGGCGCCTTTGAAGTATACCAGGCTTCGTAATTCCGCAGTTGGGATTTTGGATTTGGAAAAAAAGCCCTTGTTACAATGACGATATATAGAATGACTAATACCACATGATTAAACGGAAGCCTTCCAGGTGTGTAGGATGAAATGTAGCCATTGGCCACCAAGCATTGTCTATGTAGTATACAGATAAATAGTGTGCCTATATGCACAGTCTAGCGCGTCCAGCAGCACGTCTCTGATTCTCTTTCAGAGACGTCGAGAGGAGATGTATATCCCAAAGTCAAATCGCATGCAAAAAAAAAACGCCATTTCCATGCCCAGTAGTACACACAAAACCGCCATCATACACATCCTCTCCTCTTGTCTCAGCAACCCCGTTGTCCCACTCCCATTTTATTCGTCGCTCGGCTGTCGCATATAGGCGTCAATCGCCGCCGAAAAGGCAGCAAAGGCCGCGCAGCCACCGGCCATGGCCGTCGGGCCGGCATTCTTGGCCAGGATGGCGCCGGTCAGGCAGCCGGCGGCGACGCCGTTGGCCAGGTCGTTCTTGGCGCGCATGCCCTCGATGCCGCACTCGATGCCGGAGAAGAGGGCGCCGACCTTGCCAAAGTTCTTGGCCATGGAAAACGACCGCGTGCCCATGTCCTTGAAGCCGACCTTGAGCTGCTGCCGGAGCGGCATGTTGGCAATGGCCTGGTGCGCCTGGTTGCCGGCGAGGGAGGTACCGACGGTGTCGTAGGACATCTGAAAAAAAAAAAGGTTAGGGAGAGAAGAAGGGGGGAAGGGAGGGGGTTGGACGTACAGAGGCCATGAACATGCCAAAGAGACCACCCATGCCGAAACCCATGACGCCGGACATGACGGACTTGCCGACGCACGACTCCATGGCTGCTTTCATCTAGTATAGTCGCCGATTAGTTTTTTTTTCTTTTTTTGTCGTGCATCGCGCGTTGGCGCTTCCGAGGCGCACGTACAGCTTTGACGCCCTGGTCCTCGGCGCTGCTCCCCATGGGCATCGGCGGCGCGCCCATCGCTCCGCCACCAAGAGGAAGACTCATAGTATCGGTGTGATCGGTATGGATCGTGTATGCGACGGGAAAGGGGAAAGTCGCGGGGTATCGAAATGGTCGTAGGGGTTGTGGGAGACGAGGCTGTCGCGAGCAATAAACCCTCCTGATGATGATGCTGAGAGCCTGTCCGGCGCGAAGAATTTTTGCCGGGAGCGACCGCTTATTTTTGGGGGAGCTTGCGGATGGAACCACAGGTATAATACAAATGGACAAATAAGTACAGAGGTTTGCCAAATACTGGAAACATTTTTTTTTTATCCGATAATTATGTTTTAGGTCGTGATTTTACATTTTGGTATATGTTGTATATTACACGCCTTCTGTGGCCTGCCAGTAACCACTGCCAACACGTCACTTACAGACTCTGCGGCAAAGGCGGCTTCACGCCTCTCGCCTCTAGAAACGAATGTAGATTCCGTTCCATTCTCGAAAACTATTCTCCCATGTCAGTACATATCCACCCCATCCCCTCTTCATCAGCAACTCACCATGCTCTTTTGACGCATCGGCACCACGCCGTCGCGGATCCAAAAGCCCCAGCCGCCCATCATATTCGCCAGCATCATGTCCGTCGTCAGCCGGTCCCCGACCAAGGCCACCTGCGACGCGTCCGTCACGCCCGTCTCCGGGTGGCTCCTGAAGTAGGCCATGACGTCCTCCCCGCACCCGGGCTTCTTGACCGCGTGCGGCAGCACGTACACCCCCGTGCCGCGCGCCACGGCGGCGGCCTGCGCCAGGTCCCGGTCCCACGTCGTCGCGCCCGACGTGTTGGAGACGATGAGGAGCTTCCGCCCGGGATACGCCCGACGCAGCTTTTCAAAATGCTCCTGCGAATGGGTGAGTGGGTGTGCCGGTAGTTTGGGAGGGCGCGCGCGCGGGGGAGGGGGAAAGGGGTTTCACCTTGTACGGTTCGTATACTTCCTTGGCGTCGGGATAGGCAAAGCAGTCGTCCTTGTCGAGCACCACGGCGCGGATGTTGGCTTGCAGACCGCGGGCGTGCAGCGCGCTGTCGAGCGGGATGGGCAGGTCGTTGAAGGTGGACACGGTGTGGTGGGGGAGGCAGAGGCTCGGCTTGAAGAGTAGGCGCGTCGCGTGAAGCGAGGCGGATAGGTTGAGGTTCATGCTGTGAGGTAGACGATGGTGATGTAGATGAATGTGTTTGGTGTTTGCGCACCTCAAGTCGTATCGCACAGAGCACTGCCTCGATAAGAGAGCTTATCTTATCTACACCGACGATAAGCGTAGATAAGCAATAACCTTAGGTATCCTAAAATATAACGTCATCTTATAACTTAAATTATATAGCCTAAGGCTAGGAAATAGGATATATAAATTAACTAGTTATCCCTTATAGCTTTATCTAATATAAGGCTAATTTTCTTTATTATCTTTACTTTCTATTATTCCTTTATAAGCTATATTAGCTATACTACTATCTTATATAACTATATTAATACTCTATAGTTATAAGCCTAGGAGATTTTAATTATATAAGGTATTTATTATAACCTAAAACTTCTTATAATATTTATATTATATAGATCCCTTTCTTTTATTATTATTTTATTTATTATTATTATTATTATTATTATTATTATTATTATTATTAT